TACCTTTAAGTGTAGAGACATATTTTTAGTGCTGTCTCATGCAGGGGCTGCTTGGACCTCGGCCCCCTGGCCCTGCTGGGCCTCCACCTGAGGGGGTTGTCCCGCTTGCATTGTGTTTCTGAGCCAACAACTGGGTCTGTCTTAAGACATAAGAGGCTGCAAGGGAAGCTGGCCTAAGGGTTCTCGTCTGTACATCCCGGGTGTGTGTTGCCATCCTTTTGCCTTCCCTCTCTATGTCCTTTAACTCTGGGGTGCTTTTGCATATCTAGGTCTCTGGTCTCTGTGATGTTTTTTTTTTCTTCTTCCTTTCAGTTTCTTACAGGCATTGAAGCACACTTCAAGGTGTTATTCTCTTTTAATCAGGGTGTTTTTCCTGCAGTCTGTCTTAAAATTTATTCCACTTTATTATGGAATGCACAAGAATAAAGACAATTTTTAGCACAAAAAAAAGAAACAAGCCAAAAGGCCCAACTTTTACATTTTTAATTAGCATAGTAGAGATGGCCTTTTACTTGTCCCGCAGAGACAGTCTGCAGGAAGGACTTCACCTTAATGCCGTCGCTCTGTGGAAGTGCAACGTTAAAGCCAGAATAAGGCTGGAGTTTCACCCCCAAAGAGCCACACAGAACATGGAGGATTTTATGTAGTTGTGGGGCTTTAACAGAATTGTGTGTACTGTATTGTGTCAGATGGTGGAGAACTACAATTTCACAATCTTCTCATTTAAGAGATTTTTAGCTGACACTTTTTTTTTGGACATAGTTAATTGGTTATGTTGTTTGATTTTGTAAATAAAGTGCTGTTAAAAGTCAAAAGTCTATTTTCCCCCCTTTCTCCTTTATTCTCTCTCGTTTTAAGTTGTGTTAATAAGCTAAGAGGATTTAACTGCCACCAATGTGTGCAGCAATATACATGTATTTGAACATACGTATGCATTCAACATGTACAGTAAAAAGCAACAACAAAATAAAACGACTAGAAACAGCAAACCTTCCTAATAACACGTTATCTGTCAATGCTGCACGTTTCACTGTGGTCACTAACGTGAGTTGAGTGGAACCACTTTCACATTTCTTCAAAGTTGAAAAATTAAGATAGTCTCACAGAGAGGTGCATTGTTCCACGCTGTGTTATGGTGCTTAGCACAGATGGTCTATGTTTTTGACCCTGAGTTAGGAAAAGAGGGACTGTTGTTTAGACTAGAAGGACAGATTTTTTTCCCTCATATGTTCTGATGGCAAGACAGAAACATGGAACAAGTTTTTTTGATTCAAACAACCCTGCTGCTGCTAATCTATGACACTCTGACTCTGTTTGGGTATATATGAGAACTCACCGCTTGGTTATTGTTTTTGTTTGCCAACAAAACTATCTCCAACATTCACATGGGCAACATTCAGTGAGACAAAAAAAAAAACAACCATGCACCACATTCTTACTCCAAAGGGCACTTTTATAGAGACTACCTAATCAACAGTCATGTTTTTCAACTCTGGGAGGAAGCCATAGCACCCAGAGAAAACGCATGCATGCATGGAGAGAATAGGAAAATTCAATTTAAAAATTCTACGATAGAAACTAGGAAAGTGATATACTGATCAATAAATAGTAGAAAACCTTAAAAAAACAATGAGCTGCCAGTCTAAATGTGGGACAACTTTGATGTAGTAAAATAAAACACAGTGAAAAAAATGTATTTAAAATTAAGTAAAATGTTAATGTTGCAGTTTTCCATGTTAAATGGAGCTTAGCAGCAAAACAAGTCAGTAAATAAAAAAAAATAATCTCTGGATGTAAATAGGTCTGAAGCCACTTCAAATTTTAAACCGTACATATTAACATCCATTTGTGCATCTGAGTTCCCACCTGCCATAGGAATTGAATGTTAGACTGGTCCAGTCCCTCAGCTTCAACAGTCATTGACTTGGCAGCGGCAGCAGTCAGCCTCTTGGTGACATTGTCATACTGGTCCACAAGCTCCAACTCTGGTTGAAAAATTTCAATTAACCTATTTAATTAATTTCTAAATATTGAAAAAAAAACAATAGATACTTTGAGTGATCTTTGGCAAGCTTACCTATGGTTTCATCAAGTGTTTCACCAAGCTTCATTGTGTTTTTAGGTAGAATTGCCTTTAGTCGCGCTGGTTCATCTGGACAAGGCCTATGAACAATGCAAGCAGTTTAGCTTGTTAACGACAGAATTTTAAGGGGAAATCTTTTGCTTAATATCGCCCCTTTACACTTTAAACAAAGAGTTAGAAAGGAAAACTGCAGTGACTAGCACAAGTATTTATTATCCTTAATTTTTTTTGTTTCTTAAACCAACAAACTGAATGTATGTCTTTGGTCCTTTAGGTAAAACATACAAATGATTTATAACCGATACTTCCTAGAGCCATCATTTTTAGAGCTGTTTTTTTATTGGCACAGCATTTATTGGCATGAAAAAGCTTAAGTTAAAAGATAAAGTTATAAGAAAGTTCTAAGTTTAATACAGATAATTTCGTTCTGTTCTAGACTTTGACAGGGGATAAATATGCTTCACTCCTACCCATTCACTGCTGCTGTGACTGTATATTTATGTCGTCATCCCATTTGAGTGAATCCCCACCCCATTCTCAGTTTTTTTTTTTTATGTTGTCAATTCTTTCCAGGGTGATCCTAGAAAATAGTGCCATTGATCTTCCCATCAGCCCTGCAGTTTTTTCGTGCTCAGCCTACAGGTTTTTGTTTTTTTTTAAATGCTGAAATTTACTTTGGGCATGGTCTTCTTGGTTT